CGCTCTTCCGATCTCTGAAAATGACTTTATTCTCCAAACGACATGACTGGAAAACGAATCCGAAGCCGCACGAAGTTGTGCACGAAGATGAGTATAGTGGGAAAATGCTTTCATGAAGCGTTGATGTGGCAATCATGCTGGAGATCGCGATGGGCAAAACCTTCATTCATCACTCACATAGTGTTGAATGATGTCTATCCCAAAGTGGTTTCGCACCTGCTGGAAGTTTTCGGCTCGTATGACAATCTCTTCAGCCAGAAGTGATCTCCATGAAATCGTTCGCAATGGCTCCATCAGTTCAGAATCATTACGTCACGACATTATCAGGGACAAGTGTTATGCAAAATAGCTTTGAAGTGCACAGGGACCACTTTCGAAAAAATGCAAAAGAGCACACGCATCAAGGATCCAAACCCTCGACCACGCATCCGTGAGCCCTACGACGTACCCACTCGGCCATGCTGCCACGATCTCTTGAGCCTTACGCCGCCAATTCGTAGTGAATGCGAATATTCTCCCCCTAAAAAGCTCCGTAACTTCTTTCTGGGAGGTCCGCAGCAGATATGGAAGACGGTTTCGTAATTCCCGTCCGAAGACCTTTCAGCCGGTATACATTTCATTTCAAATGGCCACTTCGACCTACCATCCTTCCCTTGTCAGTGGACTCCGAACTATTGCGCCGGCTGCTCGCGTGGCAGCTGGGCGTGGGTGCAGTGGGACAGGTTAGGGCCAATGGACTCCGAGCCATTGCACGGGCTGCTTGCTTGGCAGGTGGGCGCAGGTGCAGTGGGACAGGGTAGGGAAGCAGGGGATGGGGGGGGGCATGGGAAGGAGGTAGGGCGAGGAGGGACGAGGAAGTGGTAGGGCGAGGGAACTGAGATTACTGGGCTGCTCGCGTGACAGTTCAGCGTGGGTGCAGTGGGACAGTAGGAAAGGGCAGAGGCGAGGGGGCATGGGAAAAGGATAGGGCGAGGGAAGTGAGATAATGGGGAGGGCGAAGGGACCTGAAGTGCGCTCCATCAGGAGCACACCATAACGGTGGAAAAGAGAAGCATTAGTGAAAGCGACAAATAGAAGAAAGGAAGGATCGACCTCTAGCAGAACAATCTATAATGTGCTGTCAATTTTAGGTGATATTTCGAATCCGAGCCATTGCACGGGCTGCTCGCGTGGCAGCTGGACGCGAGCACGTGCAGTGGGACAGGGTAGGGAAGAGCTACGGCGAGGAGAGTGAGAAAGGGGGAAGGGGGGGGGAGGACAGCGACCGTAAAGTACGCTTTAGCAAGCGCACATCACTACTGTAGGCACAAAAGCATTAGTAATATTGTAATTGTAAAAAGTTGTATTATTCAACTGTACTTTTTATCTATATCTATAGATCTATGTATGGGCGTTATGGTCCGAACCACCCCTTCTGCGAACAAGCGTGGACTCAGGATTCGCTGGGTTGCTTTATCTGTTACGATTCGTTCAATACAGTGCAATATGAGCAGCTCAGTGAATGACAAAGCCCGTTCCGTGAAGTACGCCTGGGAAGCCAGGTCAAACCGGCGAAGCCGGGCTAAAGAGAAGGAGGAGAGCGTAAGCCGGGCCATCGAACTGGTGTGGTAATATTCTGACTTCAGTTCACGTATGCCTTGTGCGCACATAGTAAACTTAAACTCACTTATACTCAAAGATCAAAGGTCTGTATTGTGGGCAGTAAACAGCGCTTTGTATGAAAAGCAACTTCCATCCGTCGAAGCAAGGTTGCTCCGAAGGGCAAAAGAGGAGCTCTCGCCCGGATGGGGATTTTGGTCGGACTCGCACGACCCCCCCCCCACTTTTTTTAGAGCTTTGTACGACCCCACCAAGCGTTCTCTTGCCAGTGTCCTACTCTATATAATCCGCTAAGTATGTCTGTCCGTGTGTGTGTATGTTTGTGTGTGCGTCTGTCTGTGTGTCACGAAATTCATAGCGCCTGTCCCAGTAGCAGTGAGACAATGATTTCAAGAAGTGATGTACGGGGTGTGACGGGAACACTATTGGTAGGTGACAGGAAAGTGTTATCAGTTGATCGAGATTCGATTTCGATTATTTAACGCATTGCAATAAGCGGGCTTGCAGAAGAAGGTCCACCAGTATTCTTTAACGCAGTGACAGCATTAGGCCTGCTCGTCGATCTTTAACGATATGATATCAGCCGGATAAGGCCAACGAACATGCATTATGTAGTCACAAAAACTGTATGCTGTTGAAGAGGTTCGATAAAGGGCGTTAGAAGGAAAAGGTTACCATATTCACAGCGCAGGTCACAGCATCAGCCAGCTCTCGATTCCGAGATATGATATAGGGTGAGGGCCAAGAACATTATTGGTCGGTAATAAGAACTGTAAGCTGTTGATAAGATTCGATAAGGGACGTTAGAATAGTGAGGTCATCGTATTCATCGAGCAGGTCACAGTATCAGACGTGCGTTTCAGCAAGTGATATAGGGAGTGTGTTGGGGACATCAACCGTGGGTGACTAGAAGCGATAACTACTGATAGGGGCTGATAATGGAGTTGCAATCGTCGTCGCTGTTTGCAAGCCGCGGTTCAAGCTCCCGAATCTATAGAGATTTAGTGATGAGGACATTGATGACGGTGACAGGTAATCTTATCAATCGATAAAAATGGATACGATACCATCTGCGCTACATTTGTATTACCTCTCACCGCTTTAATGCCGAGTATTCGAGGCTCAGATTGTGAATCTTTCCTTTGGCCAACACTTTCCTGATAACACTAGAAAATGAACTCATCCCACTATCCTACTCTATATAATGTCGATGACGGGGGCGGGGGATGGGGAGGGTATGTGGTACGCCTGAAACAGGAAAGTCAGGAAAGTTTTAAAAGTTTTTTTTTCTTTCGAACTTTCAACTGATGAGAATGAATAATAAGGGAGTAAAGTACCTAAAATTAATTATACTTCAGCGAGCGCTATATTGATCGACTGCACTTTGTATCTATATCTATAGGTCTATGTGTTGTATGGGCGTTATGGCGCGGACCGCAAGTATAAGCGTTTGCTAAGGAGTGCAGGATCCGCAGAGTTGCTCTATCTGTTATGATTGGACCAATACAGCGCTGTATGAGCAACGCAGTGATTGAAAGAGTTCCGTTCCCCATTATGGAGCGCGCCTGGCGAAGCCAGGCCAGCTCGGCGAAGCCGAGCTAAAGAGAAGGAGGAGAGCTCGGCGTCAGCCGGGCGATCCGACTGGTGTGATTATAGTTTGAAGGGTTAAGATACTATCAGGTGCGAGTTCTTCCGTGATACTGGCTAAAACTTCGACTTGTCGGGTGGGTCGTGAATGTCACAAGGAGCAGATAGTGACCAAGTCCATCTCGATCTACAACGCCATATGCTTGACCTACTTGATCTACTTGTTCTGCTCCGTTGACTCTGAGGAGTTTCCAAAAGTGGAGATAAATCTCTTATCGGAGAAGTAGCAAAAAAATCCTGCATCAACGGGATGCTAACACACAAACTCAGCTTTGAAGAGAGACACTCACCACGAGTCCGCGCTGCCACAATTTCGCACCGCTCAGCAGTGCTTGTGTGCCAACTCTCCAAACTCTGACTACCCAGAACTCGTTTGGGAGATCCTTGTTAACACTTTTGATCTACATATTTGTAATCCGCGAGACTATATCGTTGAACCTAGGGTCTTCGAATTTCCTGGGATTCATGAATGAGGATTCGGAATTCCATACAAGATAAAACCACGCCCTTTTAGACGATAGACGTCGATCGGCGTTAAAAATAACCTTAAATCTGAAAACTGAAAAGCAATTCATGTATCGCCTGAAGCTGTCAAAGGCAAAGCCCGCGATCATTCCCCATCACGAATAGTCTCTCAGGGGTTTGCATATAAGGACAGCGTGCTA